AAACATTCTCTAAGTTGCATGGCTTTTTTTTCCATTTCAACACATAGCTTTTCCAAGGGATACCTAGGAACCTTGTGGAGTATCCCATCTTTGTTAACACGATGAACTGGGGACCATGACAACACGGGCTTTATCTTAATCGGGATTAGTCTATGGCAAATCCCTCTCCATGTTCGTTCAAAAAGTACCACGAGCGTTTGGGAAGGTATTTGAACCTTCTGAAGTCATTTCTTTGAAATAAAAAATGCCCTCGGTGCTCTGAAGGAATTCCTTTATCATGTGAAACAAAGCGCCATATGTCCAATTCCAGATCCCCATATAAAAAGGGTGAGACTTGTGAGGAACTTTTTAGACCAATTACCATGCCAACGGTAAATCGCCGACTTCCTTCTATAAGCCTTTCATCGCTGATTTGAGTTGGCCTCAAGAAAGATCTGAAAAATTAGTAAAGATTGCTTAATTCCGTATTACTCTTCTCTATTAATTTTTCTTTATTTTTAGAAAAATAAGATTGCAATCTCTAATAAACCTTAGCAAATCCAAAAATAAGATTTTTAGGTGGCTCCCAGCTGCAAGCTTCCAGTGGCCATCATCTCCATTTCAACAAGTAATCATAATCCTACACTCACATTTATATACAGAATATATATACTTCAATAACGCGAGAAACTACTTGCCGACTCGGGGAATAATTAAAAACACGACGAGTAAAACGAATACTAACAAGACTTACCGAGTCACATTTTCGCCGGGTAATAATTCTCTCCACATCAAAAGATCTTCCCATATTTCTTGTGTGGGTGGCAGTGTCGTATAAAACAAAAAGAGAAATATCGTCATTCAACAAAATCCCCCGTCCCTACCCCCAAACTACCCCCAAACTTGAAACCCATTCCTTCCAATACGAAGATTATGGTTCATTTGTTTCTCCTGTTTACCTTTGAGGCCCCATGGATGATTTGTTGCAGCTGCGGGCCTCTTTTTTCCCTTGTGAAAAGAAGACGAAGAAGAAGGAACCGGGATGGCTGTGGCGGGAAAAGATGGAACGATGCCCGGGGCGAGAGAATTTGTCATCTCTCGGCTCGCAGATATTGCTGAACTTGCTATAAGGTCGCGCGTTCTCGTTAACAACGAGGTATTACTTCCCGATCGTTGAAGAGCGATCTCATTTCGAACAAATTCTCTCACAATTTGTGTCAGCTCTTCCCTAACATCACGCCCTGATCCGTCTTCCGACGTCATCTCTATTCATGCGCGTTAATGGTCGGGGCACTGGGTCCGCAATACAGCGTATTTAACTGGGGACTGGACGGGGATTTTGTGGAATGACGATACTTTGAATGTCCGGGAACTTTCGAACACTTAGTCATAATAGAAGGTATGTCATTAAATAACTATGCATAGTAGAAGTTGAATAATTTTTTTTGTTGAGTAAAAAGTTTGGACTGGAGTTCAACAATTAATTTTGTTGAGTAAAATAAATATAGCTATTGAAGTTAAATAAATATTGTTGTTGAATGGAAATAGTTTTGGTTGAATATGAAAAGAAAATTCGTTTCGTTGAACATAAATTTAAATTGTTGAATATAACTGTAAACTGTTGAATAAAAATATATTTTGTTGAGCATAAATATTAGTTGTTGAATAAAAAATATGCAAGTTGTTGAATTTTGCAACATTTGGCTAACCATAGCCTATGGCCTCGGGCGGTATCCAAGACCTCGGGCACAGTTTTTCCCAATACTGACCTCCGGTCGGTCAAAAACATTTTTATTTTTTTCTAACACATAAAAAATGATTGCCATAAGAACCCGAATGATTTAGGGCTACAATTACGAGTGGATGATAAAGAAAACAGACGTTATCCATGTTAAAGGGAAAGCTTTTACCGGAACATTTTTATTTGTAAAGGTAACTAAAAGGCTTCCAAGCAAACTTTTTAGAAACATATTTTGATAAGTGACTGTCATGATGTGACGCCTGTCAATTGAAGGGGAAAAAAGTGTACGCCTTTGAATAAACAACAGCACTGGTATGACAAACACGCACGAGTTAAATGACTTTACGACGATCTTCCCATAGAAAAAAAACAACAACAAAATAACACTCGAAGATGTTACGAAAAGTATTGTTTATTTCCAACGACAATTAATTTTCGAAGATTTACCTCTGTTCCATTTTAAAATGTCACGGAAAGTCAAATTGTAAGTGGATGCAGATGTGTGCTTTGGAGTTGTCAGTTTGCTTGTTTGTTTTCTGTAATGCTGCGTGTAAATCGATTTTTCTTTCACCGAAAAGCTGCAGTCAATAAGACTCTTTCCAGCTAGACAAAAGGGGATTTAACGCGACTTTTATTTATCGAATTCCCTCGGTTACTGTTGTAAAATTTACGGTAATAATGTCCAAATTCAAGTGCCTTGCAAGGAATAAGCGAAAGTGTATTTATAGAAGAACTCAAAACTTCGCTCAATGTTTTACAAACGAACAAATTGTGTTGAAGAATTCAGATATTATCGATTGAGAGTCACATTGATTAACGTAATCGTTAACTGCAACTACCTCTCGTTTTAACTTTCAGAGTTATTTTTTGTGAAGGATTATTAAAATAACAAATCGTTTCTAGGCCGCGTTTCAATCATTTTCAAAACAAATTTAGTACCACAAAATTTATTTCGAAATCAATTTTTGCTGAAAAACCAAAGTGATTTGAAAGCGAGAGAGAAGAAAGAATGGATATTATTTATCGCCAAAAGGTCGTGACCGAAGTCTTTTGCTCAAAACATTCTGCCCAGCTGGCAAAATGAGATATATTTGTGAAAAATTGCAACGTAGCTTGAGATGCTCTGCAAAATGACTCAAGCGAAACTGATACCGCCCGCCGTGAGCGGGCCGGATCGAGAAAATACTGCCCGCTCTCGGAACCGATCAGATTGCAGGATTCGTAGAATACCGCCCGCTCACGAACTGAGAAAAAAATAAATATCCTATATGTACTCAATGGCCGTTTTCACACTAGAGACGGATAATCCGCCTTAGTGTTAAAACGAGACGGTGTTTATTTTGGACGGAAAATCCGTCTAATTTTATCCGTCCGATTATCCGTCTATAGATCGGACGGATAGAATTAGACGGATTATCCGTCCAAAATGAACACCATACCGTTTTCACACTAAGACGAATAATCCGTCTCTAGTGTGAAAACGGTCAATCATGTTGTTCATCTACTTTCCTAAGTAAAGGCAAATTAACTTATCGTGAGTACTGTATGGTAAATCAACTATCTTGATCACTGAATGAAGGACAGTTGAATAAGAGCAATTAAAGGAGTCACTTGATCAATGAATAGCTCTACCTTGAGTAAGTTGACACGCCGGTAAGCCGGAAAGCAAAAGGCGGTTGACCCATAGTGTTTAGAAGGCCTGTGCGACCCCTGCCTTTCGCTAGCGTTTTTTTAATCTTCTGCCTTCAAAATTAAGTAGTTAGTTGATTAAAAGATACAGAGCATAAACAAAAACTTGACAAGACAGGTAAAAATTCTCAGCGCTCTCCATTAAGCGTGGCTTTCTTCATTTCCCGCCTGGCAAAGTTCTAACATTAGTCTTTAG